CTTTGTGAGCTACTGGCAGTGAAGCTGTGAGCGAGCGATTGGGCTGCTGCATAACATTAGTTTGCTCTGGAGCCCCTCCTCCCTGAGCTCAGACAAAAACGTGTGAGCCGGAGGCTAGAAAACGGTGAGCTGGCTCACACTGACTCAGCTTAGAGGGAACACTGCTCTGGAGCCCTCCTTCCTGAGCTAAGACCAAAACGTGTGAGCCGGAGGCTAGAAGACGGTGAGCTAGCTCACACTGACTCAGCTTAGAGGGAACGCTGCTTACAAGCTCCTTTCCCTTCCTCTCCCCACAACAGACACCCAATAAAATAGGTGGGGCTGAGAGAGCTCTGAGAGAACTGGGACTGGCCCAAGGTCACCCAGCTGGCTCCATGTGGAGGAGTGGGGACTCAAACCCGGTTCTCCATGCTAGAGTCTGCTGCTCTTAACCACGAGAAGGAAGTCCTTCTTCACCCAAACAGTGATTCACACTTGGAATTCACTGCCACAGGAGGTGGTGGCGGCTACAAGCGTGGACGGCTTCAAAAGGGAATTAGATAGGCATATGGAGCAGAGGTCCATCCGTGGCTATGAGCCACAAGGTATAGATAGGGGCTCTGGGGCAAGGGACGCTCTGTCTTCTTGGTGCTTGGGGGGGGGTCAACAGTGGGAGGGCGTCTAGTGTCCTGGCCCCACTGGTGGACCTCCTGAGGGCACTGGTATTTCTGGCCACTGTGTGACACAGAGTGTTGGACTGGGTGGGCCTTTGGCCTGATCCAACACTGGCGTTCTCTTATGTTCTTATGACACCAAACTGGCATTTGGTGTACTTGGAGGGGAGAGCACTAAGGAAGTCCGGGGTTGCTACGCAGCGGCAGGCGATGGAGAACCACGGCTGTTCATCATTTGCCCTCAGCCGGATGGCCCAGGTCAGCCCGATCTCGTCAGATCTTGGAAGCTAAGCCGGGTCGGCCCATTTTTAGTACATGGATGGGAGACCGGCAAGGCAGCCCGGGGTTGCTCTTGGCTCAGTTGAGCCCCGGAAAGGAGCTACTCCTGTAACGTCCGGAGGACATACGGCAACGCTGTTTTGTGGATCACCATCTTACTCTCTCTCTCTGATCAGAGTTATAGAAACAACAACCAGGGAAACGTTTTTTATATAATGCAATAGATGCTATATTGAAATTTTACACAAAGTGTAAATTAATTTTTAAAGGGCTTAATTCATAAAATGCCACCTATTAATTC